TGCGCGTGGGACCTCCCAGTGTGGTGGAATTATTCACCTAATGTTGCAGTTGTAAATTCTGTTCAAATTGTTGTTTTCATTATTAACTATTGATTTATATAATATGCATTTTTCTTCTCTTGACTAATCATTTCTTTTCTGTATATAGTTTTATATAATAAAGAAAAACCAAGGTGTTTATTGGGTTTGGAATAAATTCTTGCACGGTGAGGGTGAGGCACACTATGGGATACCTCAGTTAGCAGACCTGTCTGATGGGGTTCCAAGGGCTACTGGCGCCCCAAGGATCCAAAATCTGGCACATCACCCTGCCTAGCATGTCAGCCTGAGTTTTATATACACACACACACACACACACACATAAAATCTCATGAATCACAAAAGAAATTTTTCTATTTTCATTCTGAAGTTACAATCAACATTGCTGACTATTTTGTAACTTTCTGGTTGTTGCTCTTAATAATGGTATTATCCAGTCAATGTTTTGATTTTTTTTGTTCTAGTGGACCAACATGGCTGCAAACATTTTATAAACAGACCAATTCACTTCAAAGCTTTATTTTTCTGGCCTTTTCATTGCAAAATCATGAATTATTTCCCCAAAGTCGATTTATTTTGCAAGTTCACACTCAATAGACAAAATAACAAGGTGGCTTAATCATTCTTGTCCCATACAGCCACCGGCAGCTTGCAACAGATCTGTATGGCTATGCACACTTCGCTGAAAATTAGCTGCAGTTGTTTTTTGTAAATCTCATTTAATAAGATGAGTGGGGGTAGTTCATACTCTTTTCCTAAAGTAGATTTGAAGATTTTTTTCAGCTGCAACATTTCACAAGGAAAATTCTCAGAAAGATCTGTAGGATACCTGTGAAGCAAACATTTAGAAGCTTTGTCCAGTCCCAGAGGCTCTTGTGTCATATATTTTAGGACTGAATGGAATGTAAAACAAATGCTGTTTGTTGCTTTGAATCTGTGCTCTAATCCATAGATAACGCTGTCCAAAGCTGCATCAAAAACATTCCTTCTGAATAAAGATTCTGGATCATTTTCAGAGATGGTAGAACATGATTCCTCAGCTATATCATCATTAAATCTTTTCTACTTGTCTCTTTTCTTTGGTAATTGTGGCAAAACTCCCATGCCTTCTGTGACAAGCCATGCTTCCTGTAGAATTTTGGGCCACTGATAAAAAGTAGTTTTACTTTTTCAGTAATATCAGCACTGAGAGCTGCCTCTGATTCAAGAGAGATTCCCCTGGCTTGTAACATCTTGTTTCTGTCATCAGTACTTGAAAGAACCTTTTACCAGAAGCTAGCCAACAAACGGCATGAAAATGAGCTGAAGTACCTTTTCAGTGCTTCCAGTTGTTATTGAGCTCTGTGTGTCAAATTTAATTCAAGAGCACATTCCAGGGCTTGCAGAATACCTAGAAGATGGTTTGTGAGTGGATGGATTACATCAGCACATGCACTCCAACGTGCGTCTGACAGTGAGCAGTGTATCTTATCTGTTATAATCTTCTACCTCACAGGGCTGTCACTGAAAAACACAGAGTTGCTGCACACAACCAAAAAATGTTAATGTTTCAGTACATGCTGCTGCCACATTAATTCCTACAAGATTTAGTGAATGGGAAGCACAAGGAGAATACACAGCAAGTTCATTTTTGGACATAATGCAGGCCTGAACACCTTTTATCTTCCTGACATATTAGAGCCATTATCAAAACCTTGACCTCTACAGTCATCAAGAGGAATATTATGATGCTTCAAGCTGGCAACTGGCATTTCAGCTATCTGTTCTCCATTTTTTAAATCCAAGTTAATAAACAAAAAACCTTTCTTTAATGTTAAATGCACCAGTATCTTTGTTGTGAACTACAAATTGGAATATCAACACATGTTGTTCTTGGTGAGAGACATCAGAAGTAGCATCACATATGATAGAATGATAAATAGCCTTTTCTCTCTGCAAGGATGGCCTTCTGCACACCATTACCACATAATTCAATAAACTCATTCAGACTCTCCCATGAGAAAGAATGAGCCTGTCCTTGCATCATTTTGCCCTCTGTTTGCTTCTGTTTGACTTTGGCCAAATGGTCATGAGTGATGCTGTCATAATGAGCTCTTTTCATGTTCAGGAAGTTCATTATATAGGTTTTGCCATTTTCACATTTGGTGAATACCTTTCACTTTTTGCCAGCATACTGCATTGTTTTTGTCTCCCTTTAGAAAGTAACCGACATGGAAAACAATACAGTGCTTGATTGGTAGGACTCCAAACAAGCCAGTTTCTTGGTAGCTGTCCGCCAATGGAAGTCTTACATTTGAGAAGAAATTCAGGAAGCTTATGCCCACCAACATCTTTGGAATTGACTTTGCTAGCTTTCACATTTCTTCCAACGTCAGGACACCAGGTAGAACAGTTTTTTGACAGACAGAAACTATTCTCAGTTTGGGCCACAAGACTGGGTCTTTGAAAAAGCATGAATCAAATAGTGTAGTACTACTCTCTCCTGTTTTTTGTAAGCCTTCTTCTGAACGTGGTGGTGCTAATGGTCATATTACCTGACCATTGGAGATTGGAGTCACATGATGCATCTGGCAGCTTTTCTTCATCATCAGTTGCCACAGACACAGTCTCTATATTAAAATCATTTCCATCTTATTTTGTTCATCTACTTCCCTAGTTAGTGTATTGCCTGACCCAGACTGCAGAAAGGCCTCATCTGTTTTGAAAAACTGGAGGATTGATTGGTGTCCTTTAGTTTCTTTTAGCTCCCTTTGTTTTACCTTCTTATGTTTCTGGCTGCCTGATTTGTATGCATAGCCAGACATGGTGTGTGTATGTGAGAGAGAGAGAAAGAAATGTCCTTTTCTTCCAGGCACTAACCCTATCCATGTTTCAGTTCTTCTCTATGCAATGTTTAGATCACCAGGCCTAACTTATTACTCACTTTTGGGCCTGTAAATCCTACCAGCAACACCACGGCTTCCACTATCCCTAGGATCAATATTCCTGGTTATATGGTGTTTTGTCCCTCCCTTCTTCATCTGTATGCATAAGGGACTCTGGGACTTGTAGTTCTTGAGAGAGAATGTCTTATAGGGAAGCATAAATCCCTCTATCTTCAAAATACAAGTCCTAGAATTAACTGCACAAGCACATGCTCTCTGTCCTACACAAGGGCCCTGGGTTGTCCACCAACTCACTGTTCACAATGTTGCTTGTTCTGCTTCTGATTGGCTCCAGCAAATTTCACAGTGGAGACCCCGTATAGCAGGGGTGGGCAAAATACGGCCTGCAGGCCGGATCTGGACTGCAAGGCCATTCTATCTGGCCTGCAGGGCCTCTAAAAAATTTAGAAAATTAATATTTATCTGTCCTTGGTTCCTGTCAAAAATGACAGGACCCAGGGGAAGCCCTGGTGGGCTCCTGCAACAGCAGGGTCCACCTGGCCCCGTCCCACCAGCCAGAAGCCCCAGGAGGGGCTTCTGGCCTGGGACCATGTGGCTGCACCAGCACAGGAAACTCAAGTCAGGGGTGGGGGGGAAGGCCAGGGGAGGACTCTGGACAGGGAAGAAGCTGGTGCTGAGCATAGGGAAAAGCAGCCCCTCCCCCACCCCATGGCCAGCACTCCCTGCTGCAGCCGCTCGCAGCCTGCGCGAGGCTGTCCTGAGCAGGCACAGGCAGCCCCACGTGGGCTGAGTGTCTGCAGCACGGGGCACCAGCCACAGGGCAGGTGAGGGGCCACTTCTGCCTGCGCTCAGCACCAGCTTGTAACCCACCCCTGCTGCCAGCCTGGGCCCCGTGCCGGCTCCAGGCTCACCCATCAGAGTTGTGCTGCGGCGGCAGCAGCTGCTCAGCATGGAGGAAAGTGCCCCCCCTCCATTGCCACGCCTGGCAGTGTTTGCTGCTGCTGCCTGCCCAGAGCTCACATGCTGGACAGCACAGAGGCAGCGGTGGCAAACGCTGCCCGGCACAGCAAGTGGGGGGGCGCACTTTCCTTTGCACCAAGCAGCTGCTGCTGCCGTGGTGCAGCTCCAGCAGGCGAGCCCAGAGCCAGCGCGGGGCCCAGGCTGGCAGCGGGGGCAGGTTACAAGCTGGTGCTGAGTGCAGGGAAAAGCAGCCCCTCCCCCACGCCATGGCCAGGACCCCACACTGCAGCCACTCACAGCCTGCGTGGGGCTGCCTGTGCCTGCTCCAGACAGCCCTGTGTGGACTGCGAGCGGCTGCAGCAGGGAGTGCTGGCCACAGGGGAGGGCTGCTTTTCCCTGTGCTCAGCACCAGCTCCTTCCCTGCTGGCAATGCCGGGGTCGGGGCTGCATGCTGCCCCCAGCCTGTACTGTGGGGGCACTGGGAGTGAGCAGGTGCAGGAGCCAGCAGGAACGTG